ACCAATGTACATCTCCATGCTCTGTTTCTGGAACTGGGGGCACAACAATTCATCTTACTTACACATGATCAACTAGTGGGAGGCACAGACTGAGGCCACTGCTATTTTTTCCATCCTCGAAATTCATCATTCTAAATCTAAATCTGCCCCACCTTCTCCACAAAAGTTGAAAAAAATCATCTCCTAAATCTCTCCTTCTGCATCAAAATGAAATGAGTTAAAAAACATGATAGAATTATTTACTTGTATAATTAGATATTAATAAATAATGAAAAGTAAATCTCTGTATGGACTCCTTTGATTCTCGAGTACAGTTATTGCTTTTCTCTTTCTTTCATTTTCTTGTCAGATTTGGTCATGATATTACCGAGTTGGACTCTCAACCCTAAACAGATATATATGACTCTTTGACCCTTTAACTTGTTTCAGAAAAACTTTAATAATCTGTAAGTTAACTTATTGGAGGTCTGAAATTGGGAGACTTAATTAATAAAACTTATTATAGGGTTCGTCTTAAGGGCCTCTTTTCTTGTTGTCAACTCATGAGAAGGGAAACTAGATAACTTGAGAGTTGTCTTGTTAACTTGAAATTTTATTTGTTTAATGGGTCAGTTGATTAAAAGAGATTCAATCGACTAAACCCCCACTTTCTCAAAATTTTGTCTTCTAGAATTTTTTGCAAGAAGCAAAATCCAAAGATTTAGTTGACTATCACAACATCAATATTTGGAGTGTGAATCAAGTAACAACTAACCTTGAATGCTGTTGCCTAAAACATGGTAACCAAAAATTGGGCCTAAAAGGTTTGAGTGTGCGCAAGCATGTGAAGAAAACCCGTTTTCTCCACCACATGAAAGATCTCAACCTCTTGCACAAGATTAGTACATCCCATATTATTTTATAAGGAAAAGTCTTGACTTTTCTCTTTCTTTCTTTTTTCTTCTTCTGCAAAATAATGTGCATGATTTAAATATGAAACTGGAGGGTGGCAGTAGGCATTGAACACCCCCTTTTCAGGAGTTGAAGTCAGCCGGAAAAACAATTGCAGGTCCACTTTGTTAGTTTCTGGCATTTTCTTATATGCCAAGTTGTTATATTTTCTCCCCTACCAAACAACATTCAGACGGGTTTCAGGGTTCTGGTGAAGACCGAGCAGAAGGGTTTTTGTCTTTGTTGATGATTTGAATAAAAATGTTAGAGTAAAGGATCGGGGATTTGAATCGAACCAGGAATATAATCCTGTTGTTAAGATCTTTAATTGAAGGATAATCTAAACAAGCACATGATTAATGCAATAATAATAGAGTTAGATGCCCTTTTGAAATTTAATA